GGTTGGACAAATTAAGAAAATTTTCACATTTAATCATTGAACCCTCTTTTAATTTCGCTTTATATGGCAAAACATCGGATTCCTCAAAAGGGTTGACTGCTCTGTTATTCTATTTGGTCAACATATCATTCCTATAAATAATCCCATGGAAACTTTCCAAATTAATATTACTTTGTAACCTATTAAATTTGATGTAAATTCATATATATATATATATATATATATAGGATTTGAAATTATATTAGGTATTAGATCATTTAGTGTCTGTCCAAAATCATGAGTAGATACAAATATCTGTCTGTGGGAAAGAAAAGGAAGAAAATGGTATAAATAACATTTATACCATTTTCTGAGATTTCTTAATTGTTAACCTCTATTAATTATCAAACTACAATTATCCAGAGTGTCCAAAATCATAAGTAAAAAATCAAAATCTAGAAATTAGTTAAATAATAATCATAAAAAAATATTGCAAATACCATTTCAAAAGATTTCTTGAAATTTATCTTTATTTTCATTAAATTATAAATCTAACCATAAAACTAAAATTCTAAAATGAAAATTTGAAATCCTAAAAAAATATTAAACAGTAGTTTTAAAATAATATAGAAAGGCTATTTACAATTTTTTTTGAAATTGTACTACTACTCTACTAATTTCAAATACAAATATTTTTATCACAAAATTTCAAAAAAATCCTGCATTTTAAATTTATCCGATATATCTCTGTATTTTTTTTTAAAGTTTTCCTGAATACCCTTTAAAGAAAAGCTCGCTCGTTCTGTAAGATTTTATAATAAAATCAATAATATATACATCATATAAATTGAAAATACATTATGAAGTTTGTCCCCACACACATTGAAAGACAAAAAAAAAGTGAAATATAGGGTTTATTTGTGATATTTATAACAAAATCACATGGCAACAAATAAGAAAATCTGTATAAATATTTGTAGAATAATTATGGTACGTCTCAAAATATATGCTCTCCCATGCTTACTGAGTTCGGAAATCAATAACTAACCAAACATGCGTCTTCTAATCACTGGTTCTAGCGGTCTGTGTTGTCGCCTAGTTGCTTTATTTTATTGGCTAAATTACCATTATTATAATTGTGTTCTCTTAAATATTTATCTATTTGCTATCATATCATAATATTATATATATATATATATATGTCCGTCGCCCGTCTCCCATCTCCCATCTCCCCATCTCCCATCTCCTTTATATTTTGCCCCCCTTTCCCCCCACCCCCCTATTGTCACGGACCTAGGGTTAGATTAGGCTGATCCGTGAGGCAGCTGGGCCTGTGGGAAGGTCCAAGGGCGATCCGAAC